GATTTTCTCAACTCTGTCGAGGCTCCACACTCAGCGTGGAGGGAAGAGTTTTTACTAGTGTTTTGCACACGTTTCACATGTGATGTTGAATACTGAAAATTGTCGCCTTTATTGTGTGAATCATGTTATATAACCCTGAGATACCCGAAGTACTCTGGGTTACAGCAATGAATTATGGGAAATGTGTTTAACCTTCCTGTCGTGTTCGGGTCAAATCTGACCGATTTACAAATTAAAAAACTCATGAATATTGTGTTTTACATCCGATTGCCTGGAGGCCTTATGACATCCTCCACACTATGCACTTGAACATATAAAAGTGATGAGCACCTCTTTCGTTGGTGTTTAATCAACTTTGTTACATCCCGGTCAATAATGACCATAGAAAATGAATGAGAATCTACCCCCCCCACCCCCCACCCCTGGCCTCTGACCCCCTGAATGGGTCACTGAATGACAAAATGAATAACCCATTGACCCACCCACTGAACTGAATTTGGTGGTGAAAAATGTTTCTTATGTCAATTTAAGAGCTGTTAAAACTGACCAGTCAATTTTGACTGGGAACACTAAAGTAAGGGGGTGGGGGTGAACACAACCGGAGGGTTAAGTCATGAGCACAAAGTCAAAGGAATTTTATTGATTTCATTATTGTTTTAACATCGATCACTGAAATGATCTTATTTTAGGTACAGGGCTGTGAAAAAGTCTTGAGCCACTGTCCAAAGAAACACTCTGAAAGACCTTAAGAAAGCTGGAACACTGTTGCTCCAGAGCACGTTAACACATTACACAAGCTTTGCTCCTTAGAAGTAAAATATAAAGAAATGACAGGTGGCTCAAGACTTTTGCACAGTGCTGTATATCTGTGTCAAAGTAGAACTGATTGCTTAGCAGAAAGTGTATATTTTAGCCTGGCTGGGTATGAAAATAAGTGGGCAGACAGAGTAAATGTGGAGCAGAAGGTGGTGGATCGCAGCCAGTACACAACCTCAAAGTACTGTAGAGGCAAAGCCAGCGATTCCCTTTGTGCAGCATTTGGTGACAGCAAGGAAAAAAGCCCTTAACAGGAAGTAAAGTCCAGCAGAAGCAGGCTGAGGGTGTGCAGCAACCTGCTTTAACCTGATATGGTGAGAGCCGAAGAAAGAGCAGCGTAACAAACCTGTATTCCAGTATCTGCTCCTCCAGGGGTTTCTGTGCGCCCTGCTCCTGACTGCGCTCGCTCTTCAGTTCGGCCAGCTTGCTTTCCTCTTCCTCATGTTGTCTGGACACCCACAGAAAGACACATGAGGGTAAAAAACTGAGTCTGACTTGGACCTGAGTAATCTTTACCACCTGAGGTGTGACACTGCTGCTTTAGCAGAGGCTGGGGCTGACTTTACAGTGCAGCACTCTCACCGCTGAAGCAGCGAGACTTGCATGTAGCTCAGTTCTTCCTGCAGAGCCGCACGTTTGGCCGCCATGTTCTTCAGCTTATTAACGTGCTTTCTCAAGGTCAGGTTGTCCCATAAGCAGCGCTCTTTGACCTAAGGAACATTTCAATAATGGCAGCATTGAAGTCAGTGAGGACACAAAGTGTCAGTGTGATAATAAAATAGACTTTTTTATACTACATTCTTCACAAGAATTTGGATGTTGGAAGATTTTCTACAATTAAAGGACAAAGAGCCCAGAGTTTCCTCATAGACTGTCTATAAAAGATGAATGTAGCCACTGTGACGTCACGATTTAGTAAAGAAATCAAAGTTTTAAAGGCTTCAGTAGAGTTATTAAACTCCTGGCATCTCCCTTTTTTAGCAACAAGCAAGAGTGACGAGCAAGCTGTGGATCTGGCTGAGAAACAGCAGTGACCTGTCAATCAAAAGGTAGACCCGCCCTAATGCATTCCTTGCTTTATCAGCCTAATGAAGACCATAATTTACAAAAATATTTAAAATAAGATTCTATTCAATAAGGTTTAAACTATAAACTCAATCAGGAAAGAGTCGCCCCCTGCTGTTCATTAGAAGCAATGCAGGTTTAAGTCACTTCTGGACTGATTTCATGGGGCTAAAACCATCTTGTATATATAGTTTGTGGTTTAACTTTTAAATAGATGCAAAGGTGGGTGTGACATCAGCAATGAGAGTAAATAACCCTAAGTTTCATTTTTAAAATTACAGGTTAAAAAAAAGAGAAAAACACAAATCAAAACACCGACTCTGATACCTTTTGAGTGTCTATGTCCTGCTGGATGTTTCCCATCTCTGTGCTGA